ACGGCGTCGTTCTTAAAAATACCGTAAAAATTCAATATCTCGACAGCAATAAGCTAGCAGCACGAACTCTTTTCAGGTTATTCATAGATCATTAGGGCCTATATGATGCTCATACTCTCGATTCAAAAGCTATGTGACACTTGGGAATGTTCCCTCGTCAGTGTTCTATTAAGAATAAAAATTTCAGAGTCATATATCATTCCTATCAAAAGTTATGAAGCGCCAAAGTTACCGAAAATGGACCTTTTTTCATATATTGAGTGCTTTATAAAATCTCAATGGCTCAATGTTTTAAAGCGAAAATTTTATGGTAAATAAAATTCACTGAGATACATAGCAGTAAAAAATTTCAGCTCATTTGGTTGAGCTATTTTTGAGATATCGTTGCATTAGGATCGCCATTTATATATAGGGTCATTTTTAGGCCTTTTCGTAAAATACTCATAAAAAACCGAGGGATCAATATGTTTTGAATCGGCTTGCGTCAAAATTCATAAAACTCTTCCCTCTACAACATATCTTAAGTTGAGCAAAATCTGACGATATCGATTGAGCAGGGTCTCTATAAAGTCGGTCGTGACTTATGTGGACTGGCTCTTAAAATATCGTAAGCGTTCTTAATGTCATACAAGCTCCCTTGACTAAATTTGTTACATACCTCGCGACGAAATTCGTTGAATCCTTCAGAAGGAAATTTCACTATTTCATCATGATTGTCCATGCCCTCTAATGATTATATAATGCTAGTTTTATAGTTCTTTGAGAATCAGTTAAACCATACGACGCTCTAGGATTAGTTGTGTAAGTATATGATAGATTTGCAAACATAAGTATTGTTCAGGTGTTATCAATAGAATATGTTTTCTATTCTAGCATTTTCTTTTGAAACAATCCAATAAATTTATTTCTGAATAATTCTTGTGTAACACTGATTAATAATTCTAAGCAGTTAATCCTATCAATTTGCTTCCCATCAGCTAACGTCTCACTGAATATAATCAGAATAACTGATGTTTTACCTTCTCCCATATTTAACTGATGGATACTATTGTCTTATTATTTCATCATTGTTTTTATAAGTGAATATTGAATGTTACGAAATAAACGATTACTTTCTGTCGGAAACAATAACAAAGATGGATATTCTTTCTAACCATAACTTCTTTTCATTAAAATATTCGTTAAAACATTTTCTAATATGCTTTCTCATTCATCTTTCTCATTGTCCGGATTCAATGACTTATATTTGGAAATTGACAAAGTTTCTCTTGTAATTTGTTGAGGGTGTGAGTGTGCGGGAGGATTAAAAAAGTATCCACACTCACACTCTCTAGAGTTTGATTCTATCGCTGAAACAATATTGAGTCAGAAATATATCAACTCTAAATCTGACTGTCACGCTGAAAAAGTATGTGTGTCTAGCAACTGTAGCTTTATTACTGAATCAGATGTGAATAAGAGAGTAAGAGAAAAGATTCTACATTTTCTGTCGCTAGATAGAAATAGAATCCGAAAAGATTATTACCATTCATCATTATTAACAGACGTGAGGAAAGTTTCATCGGAGCGTTGATATTGGCTCGTTTTACAAGCGGTTGACAGATGCCATTGCCACGTACAGTATTCATGACAATGGGTAATGAGGAAAAAAAAAGAATAAATAGACAAAGCAGCAGTCGATCATTACCTATGGTATTATTCCAGCAGCTACTATTCTTACTAGCTTTGACATCGGTCAATGCGAACGTATATTTGTATAATAGTATTGATAGCGGTTCGATCGAATTCTACGATTGCATTTCTCATAACTCTTTATTATATTGCCGTCGTCCGTCTATACCAATTATTTTATACCGAAACCGTTCAACATGGACTTGTGAAAACGATGGTAAACGTCACTCTTTTACTTCTCTCATGCAAAGCAATATTTCGGTGAGCACTGTCTTGCACAAATGGCAATCCAGCATAGAGAAGGCCGAAGATTATTCACGCTATCGACGACAACGATTATCAGCGTCGGTGCTCAATGAAAACGAAGAAAACTATCTGTGTGAATGCCAACGTTTCCAATCGTTCGGGAAGTATTGTGAATATTTGTTACCAGAGGGTACAACATTTCGTGAGACGCTTTATTGGGAAATCAAAATGAAAACAGCGAATCCATTACAGATGCAGATTCACGGCGATATTATCTGTTATACAACCTTATCATGCGATTCTGGGCTTCTTTGTCTCGATTGGCGCGACATTTGCGATAGTATTCAACAATGCGTGTTCGGCTATGATGAAGAGAATTGTGACAAACTCGAATTCAATGAATGTGACGATGATGAATATCGATGTATGAATGGTATGTGCATACCGAATGAATATTTTCTCGATGGTGAATACGATTGCTTGGATATGAGCGATGAAAGGGAAACGTTTGAGAACGCGGTATGCACATTTCAAGAGGCTGGATTTATCTGTGATGATCGACTATGCCTACCCAACGAATGGTCATGTGGTGATGGACAATGCATTCAAAATCGAGTCGGTTTTCTGGATATGTATAATGTGCAGAAAGAATGTAACAACCTCCGCGATCAATATCACATATGTGAACTGCATCTCCGACGAGATCAATGGACATTACCGAGTGGTACATGTTTGTCGAATTCGACGTACGAAGAACGTCACTCTGGAAATCGCACTGTGCACGAAGAATGTATTTATTTTGTCAAATGCTCTCTTTCACGAGGAGTAGAAAAGAACTGTCCTTGTAAATTCAACTTATCGTGCATCAATCAATTAGAAAATCCATGCAACTTGTCGTTGATTCAATATCCAAATGGTGCTATTATCGCACCATACATCTTCATCTACTACAGCAAAACACACAAGTGGTCAACGAAATGGCCGGATCTTTTTAGCATGAATGCTACTCTTAAATGTCGAGGATATTTGATCCATCAACGTCTGGACCGACTCAGAACATATGGTTTACCCTTTCGTTTTATGGAAGCACAGCTTTGTTCTCCAACCTTCAACCTTTCTATTGTAGAGAATAAGGGTTACGACCGTCATTGTTACAGAGATTCAAGAACTTTTACCAATCGGTCGTATCATTTTGTAGATGTGTGCCGGTTTTCTCAAGCATGTATTTCTGCGTATCGCATTCATGATGGATATCAGAATTGTGCATTTCTAGAAGACGAAACGCTAGAGGAATTCGTCGCCGAGAGCTGTACCAATGTAAAACGTCATCGTTTTCGATGTTCTACCGAACAGCCTACATGCTTATTGGTCACCAAACTTGGCGACACAAATCCGAACTGCAAGAATAAATTTGACGAATTATGGATGGGTACGGAGATCGTCATGTCGAAACTTGTTTGCCATATTGAATCAAAAAAGGATTGTTCTTTCATTCGAGAATATCTTGAAAGATCAACAATGACAATAAAGAATGAGAGTACAACTCCAATGCCTGTTGATTTCAAAAGAAATCCCTTTCGTACTTATTGTGATACGTTCTGGAACCTTGGCTCGATGAAAGATGAAGATGTTTATATGTGTCGAAAATGGTGGACGTGTCTCGAGACCCAATGGCAATGCAAAACGGGACAATGTATCGATATGCAATGGGTCTTAGACGAGGAATGGGATTGTCCAGATGCTTCCGATGAAGAGGCTCTGTTCGCATCAGAAAATCCAATTCTGGATCGAAATTTGCAACTCATCGACGAATCGGCTCTCCGAGAAAAATTCAATTTTCTCTATAAGAAACAGTCATTTTGGAATATTTGTAACCTGACGATCGAATATCCTTGTTTTCAATTTGATTCTCCAGAAGCATTGAATATCAGCCATTATCGACCTTGTATCGATCACAAACAAATAGGAGATGGACAAATCGATTGCGCTGGTGGTCTCGATGAACGTAATACTATCACGCTATGTCATGTACCTGTTATGCTAGGTTATCATTATAAATGCTTAACAAATCAGCAATGCTCATCCTATGGTACACATTGCGAACCGATATGTGTTGATAAAGATGTGCTATGTCTAGGCTATCAGAAAGTGCGGAACTGTTCGTCGTCGTTTGATTTTACGTGCCTCGATGGTCATTGTGCCAAGAATGGTTGGTGTGATGGTAAATATGATTGTTCGCAGGGAGAAGACGAGAGTATTTGTATTCGGCAAGGTAAATCTCGATCAAAATCATCCGATGAACTTTATCGTCTGGACAAAGAACGATCGATTCTAGAAGCGAAAAAAGAACTTCATCTACCCCGACTTCCGATTGAAGCCAACGATATTAATATTACTGAAATTGAAGTTACAAGTTCGTCAAAGCTAACAATACAAACAGCGGATGTTCCTCAGATTTCTTCTCCACTCTCGTTTTGGTGTAATCGTGGCGTTGGTGTACAATCCCTGAATGATACGATTGCTTGCTTCTGTCCTCCTCAGTACTATGGTGATAAATGCCAATATCATAGCGATCGATTGACCGTCGTTCTTCTTGTGAATCTTTCTCAATCGATTTACTCAAAATCGGAGCATCCAGAAATCGTATTGAAATTTTTGATTTTATTCTTGTTCGATAGGCAATCATTGTATACGACCACTTTCTTTGTTCGGCCTGTAGACTTAATCACCGTCCAGAAGAAGCATATTCATTACCTACTGTATTCTCGTTTGAATCGATTTCTTCAACATAAACGAGCTCGATATTTCAATAGATCAAATATCATCCTTGAACATCCCTATTCGATTCGTATAGAAGCCTATGAATTGAAAATGCATGAGAAAGCTCGGCTGATCGCTCTATGGCAATATAAGATATATTTCGATTTTCTTCCATCGTTTCGTTTTGCTAAAATTTTACGCTTGAAGCAAGTCGAAATAGCTACCAATCCATGCAAGAGCCGTCCTTGTATCGGTAACCAAGAATGTCATCCGCTCTTCGACGAAAATTCCAGTTACATTTGTTTGTGCCCGAACAATTTCAAGGGGAACGATTGCTGGATCTTGGATGACATGTGCAGCAGTGGTTTCTGTGCACCGAATGCTCTTTGTAAACCTAATTATCGCGGTCTAGTAAGTGGGGTTAACCAGCCTTACTGTCTGTGTCCGATCGGCATGATCGGTGATAGATGTGCTTTAACTCAAGATCAATGTGATTCAAAGCCTTGCTTAAATGATGGTCAATGTTTTCCTGGACCAGAAGTCAACGATTATTTCTGTTGGTGTCCTGAGCATTACTTTGGTAAGCAATGCGAAAAAGAAAAACATTCAGTTCGATTGTACATCAGCGAAAGTTTGCAACATAAAGCTGCTGTTGTACAATATTTGAATATCAATTTTTATTCTCTCGATTTGGTTCTTGTTCATCAACATCTTTACCAGCATCTCGCTAGTATTTTACATTATCTACACCAAGGCCATACTGTGCCGGAAATTGTGCTCATTCGATTTTATTCTCTTTCAGACGTTGAAACATACTTGATCTGTATAAATATGAATATTTCATCGATCAATGCTACCATTCGAATCAATGAGAAACAACGCTGCGAACTTGTTCGCCGCTTGTTTGCGTCACATGAAGGTTTGTTTATGATTGATTTCGAGTTATGATATCAGAACGAAGGATTTCATTTAGGAATTTCCCCATTCAAATATCATCGATTATGCATCCAGAATACCAGTCGATTGTGTTTCATCGATGATTCATATTTGTGTATTTGCGATCGAAATCATAGTCGAACAGAATGTTTTGGCTATGACAGATCGCCGACTCAATGCTTTCACTGTGTGACAGGTCAATGTGCCAAGGGTAATCCATACGTTCGGGATGATTTCATCTGTATCTGTCCAAGATGCTATGAAGGTCGCTTGTGTCAATTTAATACGCGTGAATTATCAATGACTTTAGATTCATTGCTGGGATTAGAGAACAAAATGATCAAAATGATATATATGACACTGGTCATTACCATGTTCTTTCTGGGTGGATTGATGAATTATGCCAGTTTTTTGACCTTCAAAAGACAAAGTCCCCGACGAGTTGGTGTTGGCAACTATCTTCTTATTATTTCTGTATTCAGTCAATTTTCTCTTCTTTCGTTGCTTTTTAAAATCATAGATATAACATGGTCAATATTTTCAGGCAACATCTCATGTAAAACTGTCTCGTTTCTACTTTCTCTATCGACAAGATATACGAAATGGTTGATGAGTTGGATTACTTTTGAACGAGTCTATTTCGTACTTTTTCCCATGAGTAATTTTTTGAAAAAGACAACAGTTTCCATAGTCATCAGTACCGCGACGCTTTTGATACTCTTTACGATGCATATTCCAGAAATGATCTTCTATAAGACAATCATCGATCCTAGTGGACAACAAATTTGCTTCGCTAATTTTTCTCAGTCTTTCGTAATATACAACTACGTCAATGTCCTCGTTCATCATTTGGTGCCATTCTCGATTCAAATGATCTCGATTACAATATTGATTCTACTTGTTGCACGTAGTCGTTCGCGTACGACAAACCTAACATTGAGTTTCGTCGAAACACTTCAAATACAATTTAACATTCATAAAGACTTGTACGTGACGCCCGGAATCGTTGTGCTAAGTGGATTACCACAAATCATCATAGCTTTCGCATTTTCATGTACGGAACTAGAAGCTTGGCAAAGACATGCTCTCTCCATCGTATACTTTATATCCTATATACCGGACCTATTCGGCTTTATGGTTTTTGTACTACCATCAAGCAATTATTTCCACGAATTTCAGCAAACATTTCTTTCTCAAACTCGACTCTTCAAGTTATTCTTCAAAACTAAGAAGCAGAAATTAGTTACAATAACAGGAACAACTCAATTTTTGGCACAACTTCAAAAATGATGATCTCATCGCTTTGAATGGACTCTTGTCTTAGGAATTCTTTTTTTTGGCAAGTAAATATTCCTGTATGATTAATAAAACTTCAAAATGATCATGATCCTATCATAGGCACATAGAGATTCCTGAACTTGGAGTTGATTATCATCTGATTTCTAGTTTAAAATATCGTACATAAGTGGCAGAATTTATGTTGGATGAATAGCAGTGTTTGTTCGGTTTTGCAAGTCGACATCATCAAATGATAAATATAGTATGTTCACTGAGGAGATTTTTGATGAAAAAGAATTGTTTTAATAAACTTCACTGGTTACAAACATTATGAAGCTGAAAATTGACACTGTCAATCCTAAAATATGGGGGTCCAAAATCGATTTATTTCTATTATATTTGGGTGTGGATGTAGATGTGTTTATAACATAATTGATTCAAAGCAGCATCGACACCTTTGGATATCAAGATGTTGAGTTGAGTAGTCATGTATGGAATTGTTGTAGTTGATGGATGTATGTGGTATATTGTGGATGATTGACGATGTCTTTGATATTAAATAGGTATTGATAATAATACATGAAGTTAGTTTCATATAGAACCGGGAAAAAAAGAAAAGTGTAGCGTATCAGATTATTTTTCTAAAATAATTTTGTATATTAGAGAAAGTGCAGAGTCAAGTGTAGAGAAATATTTATTTTCGCTAACTTAAAGATAAAATACAATAATTCATTCTTTTGAGATGGAAAAGTGTTCGTTTCTTATTTTATGCGCTGTAGGTATCGATTATAACTTGTGTGTTGCTATTGTTTGTCTGTCTTTCATTCGTGTCAACATTTGGGGCTTTCTTATGGTTAAAAAATGTTTCGAGTGTTCGATTTGTATTAGTTACTAGTCGAACTTTAATGTTTTCAAGTGTTGATCCGTTATTAGTGTAGTATGTGCGCCACCACTTGTAAAATTTATTCCAGAAATGTGTAGATGTAGAACTGTCGAAGAGATAACGCGGATATATTACGTTTGGATCGCATATCTTCGGCTGTAATACCGTTGGTAATTGAATTGGATCTTGTTTCATAATCTGAAGTTTCTTTTCAAGTCATGTTGATTGATACAATAGTCGTTGATGTAAGTGATGATAAACTTGCTCGTTTAATTCGTTGAGAACAGGTATGCAATTGCTGACTTGAAAGAATCGATAGAACTGTTTCGATAGAAAAATTGATGGATAATTGTTAAGTAATAGTGACATATCAATACGAATACGTTCTGAGGTGAAATCATGTACACTAGAAAAAATACGAGCGGCACGTAATAAAGCAGTATATAATATGTTACGATGCACATGCTATGGTTGGTCAGATGTATATGGCAATATATCAGGTTCAGCAGTTGGTTTATGATATAGAGATATTTTCACTTGACCATTCTCCTTTGTTATAATAATATCCAAAAAATTAATTGTGGTATTAAGTTCATAATGAATTTTATTATTAGTGTCTTTATTGTTCACTCTTTCAAGTTCTTATTTAATTTCATGTATTGTTTGATTATTGTCGGCATCAGAATTAAGTATGGGTTGGTGGAAGACCAATATCTCGAGAACAGCAATAGCTAGCAATGTGCGCTTTTACAAATCGAAAGAGGCTGAATTAGGACATGTTTTGATATACTTTATGCAAGGTGAAATCATTACTTGACCAATCTTTTTTGGGAATCTCTTTCAAAAATGTATAATAATGTAATGTAGTTTCAATGAAATTTTCATTCTGACATGTATAGTAGATAGAGGGATTTCAACTCTATAGTTCAAGATACAATGCGAATGGTTATCTTCCCATAGTCTAACGTCGAACAAATGAATTTGACTATTCGTATGCCAAAATCATAGGGAATTACGTTGATTTTTAACCGAATTTTCTTACTTTTTGTCAAATTTTCATCGAAATAACAAACTATTTTGATAAAATGTTAAAAAAACTTGGTTGAAAGTCAACGTAATTCCCTATGATTTCGGCATGCAAATAGCCAAATTAATTTGCTCGACATTAGTCTATGGGCAGATAACCATTCGCATTGTATCACGAACTAAAGAATTGAAACCCCTCTATCTACTATATATGTCAGAATGAAAATTTCATTGGAACTACATTGCATTATTATACATTTTTGGAAGAGATTCTCAAAAAGGATTGGTGAAGTAATGACTTCACCTTCAATACTATTATATCAAAACATGTCCTAACTCAGCCTCTTTCCATTGGTGAAAACAGCAGATTGCTAGCTATTGCCGTTCTCGAAATATTCGTCTGGCACTAATACACACTTAATTCTGGCGCCGACGATAGTTTTATCAAAAGTTGTATTTAAAACAAATGTTGTACAAGTCAAACTTTTTGACCCTGAATATCTGTGACATTTTCGAAGTCTGATGATTTTTAAGCCTTCACATCAGATACTGATAAATTAATGAGATGTAGTTAGTTGATAGTAAAACTAACAATAAAAATTTTATTAAAATTATTATCCGTAAACTTTTCAAATTATTGAAAAACAAGAACTTGAAACTTTCGATTAAGTTTTTAAAAATAATTTGCATCACAAAATCAGTTTTCTTATAATTGATACAAGTGAATTTTGAAGAATTTAAACAACAAAAATTTTAGACTTAAGATTGTTTTTTATTTGAATTATTTCAATGAAAAATATTGAAAATAAGTTTAACAGTATTTGAATTTCGGTTTATGTTCCTCATAAAACATGCGTAATGATTATACCAAATATATAAAACGTGTGTTTGACGCTTTGATTTCGTTAT